GAAAGACTAATTACTTGCATATTTGCCACGACCCATGCAAAGAGAACAAGCGAAAGAGCTCCAATAAAGATGGCAAAATTATTCTCTCCAACAAAAGTGCTTGTGTTAAGGTTTTGTCCAAAACAACTACTCACATCAGAATCAAAGGATTAGAGATTAAGTAATAAGTCTCATCTTTGGTAGAAAATATTGAGTACCAGCAAAAAACTTACTTCAGATTCTGTAATCCAAACCAAAATGAGTAGAAGAACTTGTTAAAGAATCCTGTACTTGGAACGTTGAGTTGATAGTAGGAAGCATACATGCCACACTGAAAGTAGTTCTCATTACCATTGACGTTGCACAAGTTAGTGACATTGGTTGACTGGAACCAGGAATTTCGGCCAGAGTCATCAAGCCATTTGCAATCAAAGTAATCATACTGACAAGCTGACTCAAGATCACAGGCACTTTTCCAGCATCCTTCCAGTCGTTCAATTGAAAAATAATACATCCAGGCTCCTATAACCTTTTCAACAGGAAGAAAATGAATTATACCACGAACATGATTATTGTAATGCAGATTGTGAAAAAATATTCAGGAAGCACAAAGAATTACATGGCCTACTAAAATGTAGAGAAGCATGTTATAAGCTGCGCCTGTCCATGCTGTTTGTATCAAAACACTAGTGTCCTTTACAATTTCTGATGAGAGGGGGAAAATGAGAAAGAGCCTGGGGAGATACTGAGCAATGAGTATGAAAAGAATCTTAGACTTTGCATTTGACATTGCTGAACCTTTGAGATTGGGAGCAATAAGCCATATCAAAACCTGAAAAATGGTGAGGGAAATCAATTCCATGAATCATCATCATCATCATCATGATGCAGCAGAAAGGAAAATTTTCATTACTGTGAAGTACCTGAGGAAGGGGTAGCGCAGCAATGAAGTCAATCCAGAAATCCAACCGAAGATACCTCAAAGCAATCTTCCTAGGGTCTATTACAAGCTCTCCTCTACCGAGTACTCGGGAAGGAGGAGCAACGTAAGCTGTCCTAAACCGTAGGAATATCTGAATGATATAGAAGATATCAACCAGTGATCTTATAACAGTAAGAATAACCCCAGCAAGAGGCATTCCATTTTCAATACAGGCCTGATATGAAACTGCTGGTAGGTACAAGAATAAAGGATCCAGGAACAATGAAAACAAGCATGCTATTAAAAAAATCCTGCTCCACCAGCGAATGATTGTTCCTCTTGGATCCAGTATCTTTGTTTTCACTCTTCCAAAGTCCTCTGAGAAAACCCTGCAGAGTACTTTATCTTTCAAAGATTTTCCAATCCTTAATTCTTCCATATCGGTCATCTTGATGGTAGAATCTTGTATTTGTGTTTCATCCCAAATAACTTTGGGAACTATTGTTAAGTTGGGATCAGCCTGAAATCTGAAATTTGAATGTCAAATGTTAGAATCAATAGCTGCAAGTCATTTCTTAAATATCATAAAACACAACAGAAGAATTTATGAACATAGAAGGGACAGACCTTAAAGAGCTTGGATTATAATGCTCCATGTCTTTGATTTCAAAGGAGTTGCCGTAGTCTCCACTACGGGATTTAATCTGTATGGTACAAGAAGAAATATGGAGTTTTATATGTTAAGGGAAAAAGTAAACTCTTTGATGAAATCAGGCAATGTATCAGATGAAGTTGACCAGGCAAGAGCTCAAAGCCACCAAGCAGAAAATGCCTTCACTAGCTAATATTAACACATGTACCCAAAAACTTCTCAAACTTAAAAAAGGGGTAAAACTTCTAACACTATCCCACTCCAACCTTTTTTTTTTGCGCAAAAATGCAGGTCAAAATACATGTCCAATTTTCTTTCTTTTCTTATTTTTTTTATTTTTTTATTTTTTTGGCCACAGACCAATTTTCTTAATCAAATTTGCACTAGTGGGCTATTTGCCTGGATCTTCAGAAACCGTCAAATATATATAAAACTTTTGATCTGGAATTTGTAATTACATCTCCTACAAGCAAAGAATTGCAAATTCAAGACTTAAACCTCTTTTTTCCTTTTTTTCTTTTTTTAATGCAGCAACGTAATTTCTTATTCAAAAGAGAAAGTTCAGTCTAAAAAGAAAGAAGCAGAAATCAGGGAATAAGTATTATCCAAGTAGATTAAAATCGAGCATACCAATAAGAATAATCATGAACAGAATGTAATTAAGAATCTGCAAGCTAACCTTCTTTGAGTCATTTTAACAAACGGGCTGCGTGTCTCACCATCACCATAGAAACAGTGTGCACAAGAGCTTACAAAGCATGGGCTAGCAATAAAATCCATCTCATCTAATCTCTATTTCATATTTCCAACAGAGTTTCCAGAAACAGGGAAACACACACACACAGAGTACTATGCTAAACTCATCATATGAAGAAAGAGGAGCAGTGTGTAATGGGGGAGCTCATAAAACAATTTCCATCACTATTAGTCAGAACACGAAGCAGAAGAACTCTTCTTGTTGGCTCAACATTGATCATGAATGGGTTCATTATTGCATCATGCATTGTGTATTGACAAACCCCATTATTTATCTCACGAGACACACATACCTCCTTCCCCTCATATGTCATATTTTCCGCCTAAACCCACAACAGATCAAAACAGCACAAAATAAACAGGAGACATACAGTAGAAAGAGTCAAATTGTACAATCCAAAGTGAGATAATGAAAAATGGCAGGCCTTTTCATGTGATCAATGCGAAAAGCGACAATGGTCGTAAGCATACTACACTTACCCCAGGTGGTGAAGTAGTGCATAGAAAGATCCACATACAAAAAAAAAAAAAAAAAAAAAAAAAAGTAATCCAAGGATGAATTATTGCATAATCAAGACAACAATTTTCATAATTGAAACAAAAAAAGCAAAAGAAGGGTGTTGTTAAAATGGACAAGCGAGTGTTCTGGGGTAAAACGGAGAGGACGTTGCCGGAGCTGTACCGGGTCAGGCGAACATTCTGCTTTTACCTTCTACTTTCTTTGGTTCCACTTCCACGGCACTGGGAACTCAACAACATTCCACGGTGCTCTGCTTCTGCTCTATTTTTCGAGAATTCCCATGTTTCTGCTAGCCGGGGGAAACGATGCGTTTCGTCGGACAGAAAATCTCATGAAAGTCAAAACGCTGTCGTAGGAGTTTTTATTTATTCTTGGTTTAATGCTAAATTTGGTCCCTCAACTTTTGCTCAATACACTTGTTTGATCCAAAAATAATTTTCTGTGGTTTTTTTGGTCCTTAATTAATAATTTGATAATGTAAACTTATTTTTGCTGCCTCTGTTAACGGAGTGCACATGGCCATTAAGTTAATTAAAAAAAGAAAGTAATTTAGAAATATTTTTAAATTATTTTTATATGATTTTATGTGTTATTTAAATTATTGATATTTTTTATTTATTTAGAATTATAATATTAAGTGCATCTAAAAATTATATAAAAAAATATTTTTACATCAATGCCCAATAAAAATTTTAATATTCTTTAAATTTTTAGTAAATGTGTGCACGCTTAATTTAGTTGAACCTTTCTCTTCCGCATGTACAAAGTTACTTAGAAAAAAAAAATTTTATCTTTCTCTTTATTTTTCTATTTACTTTTCTTGCAGTGGAATCTCAATAATAATAAATCATTATTGTTTTTTTCATTTTTAATTAATGACTTCTATCAATAAAAGAATAAAAAAATGCACATTATCAATTTAAAAGACTAAAAAAAAATTATTCATAAAAGAAATACAATAAGATGAAGTTCAGAAATCAAATTTTACATTAAATCTTTGTGATAAAGTTTAGAAATCAAATTTTGTATTAAACTTTTATTTTTTTAATAAGCAATAGCACTCCGATTTTACTTGGGTTACTGTTTTTGGACAGGAAAGAAAAAAATCAAGTCAAACTAGTGGAGACTTGATATGAACAAACCATCTTACTAGATCAATGAAGACTCTTCTTTGCCATAATTGGAAACCGTCAAAAAAGAGACTTGATTGAATGGAAAAGTTTGGTGTCAACATTTGATGGAGGGACTCAAATCATGAGGACGTTTCTGAAGTTAAATGGGTATATTGCAACCATGTCCATGAACAATCTGAATGTTTATAAATAATAGTATATAGGATTGAATTTGAAGGTGATTGACTTGAAACAATGGATATAATAATTCCAACTACTACAGTACTACTTACGTGATATAGAAAGCTAAAAGCTAAAAAAAAAAAGAAAAAGAAACTAAATGCTAGTAGTGAAGTGGGTATATGAACAAGAAGATGTTTATTTAGAATATGAAATAGTTTCACTTTTTTAAACACAAGAATTTGAGAAATGAAACTGGCAGTACATTAAACTCCACACAACATTATGCAACTGTTCACCTCAGTTGCTAGCTACACAACAGGCACACGAATGCTTTAGATAAAGGAACCATAGTTTCAAAGGATGCTGCAAATTTCAATCATTCTAACAAAGACACATCCTTTCTTTGGCAAGTGCAGTGCAGTGCAGCTCTAAGGAGGAGGAGGCCCAGGGTCAGGGCAGCAGCTTCCGCATAAGCCAAAGCAGCTCAGAAGCCACAGGCTGCAATAATAAACATAATGGAAAATGTCAGATTCTAGTATCATTTGTTTGGTCCCCTGCAAAAGTTTTTAAAAGCAATGTTGTGTGCAGAACATCTTACAGGCAACTGCAGCATCCTCCATCTGGTCCCGGGGGAGGAGCTGGTCCTGGCGGATGAGGGCCGAGCAGTGGTGCACTTGATGCTGCAGGTGGATCCATTTGCTAATCTGGGAAGAACTTTGCTGGAGAACTTTTTGCAAGTGGATTATCCTAGCGAGCTCACCATATATTGTTGATCAAGTGCACCATCCCGTCTCCCAAGTCTTTACCATCACCTACCATTCAAAGGGAGATACAAGATCACCAAAATTCAGAGCCAACCAAACAGTTGAACAAAGATGGTTATCCTGCACATGAACATTCCTGACTTTCTGAGAGTTGCCATATGCTGCCACTCACGGAATGGTTGTCTGAGTTGTGCTTACTTGACATGTACTCCCCCGGCGTTGACATAGACCTGGCAAAGAAGTACATTGCAAGATAAAGGCAGCTGCATTGAATCCTGCATATAAGAGTGAAAGATGCCTCCACAAAATAATAATATGTCAAAATTGAAAGCGTCATTTGTGTCCTGTGCAGCAATGACAACGGGTCCCGTGAGGCTGGCGAATCCCTTCCCGTTTCCATTTTCTTTCTCGTGAATGACAAATACGAGGATCCATAGGCATTTTTGACAAGTAATAGGTTGTGTCTCTTATTCTCGTTTCTCGTGAAATTCTCATTTTTCATCCATTTATATCAAAATATAAGTTTTTTATATATTATTAACAATATTCAATTATAATGAATAAAATTTTAAAAATTTTAAAAATTTAAATACAATCAATTAAAATTTTTTAAATATAAAATTAAATATAAATTATTTAAACATAAATAAAAATTAATTAAATATAAATAACTAAATCAAAAAACTTATTTTAAACATAAATAAAGATCAATCCAACGTAAATAGTTAAACCAACATATTTTGATTAAATTTAATTTTTATTGAATTGGATATATATATTTGAATTTGAAATGTATATTATGTATTAATATAATAAGTTGAATTAAATTTAAAATAAAATTAATTTATCTATTTTTTTACAGGAGATGAGAATCCCGCAAGACCACATAGGATGGGGAACATTCTTAGCATAATTTTGCAGGGAAAATTGCCTAAAATTATGCAGGGACCAACCGGCCTGAGGTCCAATGGTTGGTCCGCAAGCCTTAGAGCTTGGGTGAGGCGAAGGTCAGGGCTTGGGTGAGGCGAAGGTCAGGGCTTCGAGCTCTACCACTGCCGTGAACTCCACCAACTTGTGACATAATGACCGCGTGCTTTATATGAAGGGATGAAATGTTCACCATTCTGAGAAATCTCAACTGCTAACAAACTAACTCTACTAATTTCTTAATCATTACCCTTATAAAAAAAAAAAAATTATGCAGGGAAAATTGTCTATACCATTCCTACCCGACCCCTGTGACGGGGATTCTCACAGGTCCTGCAGGGATTGGAACAAATTACCACCCTTAGTCCTGTGCGCATCTGTTGGCTGTTGGCTTTTGTTACAACATCCAGATTGGCTCAAAGACTAAGCTCTTAACAACTCATCTCCATCCAGAATAGTCAGTTTTAGAAACATCGTATTGGCAATTCACTTACAATTCAGTGGCTTCCTTAAGAAGTTAAGCAGTGTTTCTGCAAAAGAGAGCTTGATTCCAAAAACACTAAGTAGATTTTGAAATTTTGTATAATGTTCTGTACATCAGCACGGAGAGAAAAAAGGCATTGTAGGAAGATAGAACAAGTTACAAACAACCTGCTTCAAAGAACCCAGTAATAAAGAATAACTGGAGATGCCCCCAGCAACCTGCTACATTCTCTTTCAGTGCACACAACACGAAGAAACCAAAGCAAACATGTATACTGTAATGTGTTAATCATCAGTGTGATTGCTCTAATCAGGCAGACTTAATGCTGCCATGCTGAATGATTCAAAACGAGGCTCTGTTAAATCGACCATATCATCATCCTGGATATGGCAACTCCTAGATTTTGAAGTCAAGAGAATCAGCCTTTCCATACACTCAACTGAATTAGTGTCTTCCTCTTTGTTGTTGCTTCCAGCACAAGGAGTAACATCCATGTTTGATGGAAGTGAACCCTGAGATGACCTTTTAGTAAATGTGGTTTGTCCTGGCTCCTCTGCATCCTGTAAAGCCTCAATTGCATTGTGATATCCGTTAATGTGAGCTTCACTTGTCATGCTATGGGCAGATGACGACTACACAACAAAGAAACAGGCAATTTTGTTATATGTATCAACTGAGACTAAAAATCTCATGTCAACTTGTTTGTAAAGCTAAAAAAAGGGCTCTAACCAAGCTCATTTCACAAGCTATTACCAGAAAAAGGTTTACAGGAATTCGTCTTTTAGATTTATCCGGTGTAATAGTTGAGAGGATTTGCACAACCTCACTCATGGTTGGGCGAGCATCAGGATCCAACAGTAGGCACTCCTTTGCAAGGTAAGCCATTATCTGCATCTCTTCGTCTGGGAAATTTCCTTTTAAACGTGGATCTGGCAACTCTGAAATCACTCGCTTACTGTCCAGTAAATGAGGGGTAGCCTGAAAAGAATAAAAGGAAGACATTGTTTAGCATTAAATCACATTTTCTACTTGATATTATAAATAATAACTCAGACAACATCAGGCAATGGTCAGCAATTTATCATTTTATTTGGTGATAAGTAACTCAGACAACTGAAAAAACTCCTTCCTTAGAAGACTGAAAAAAATGAAGATCTACTTTACCCATATAACTAGACTTTCTTGTTTGTTATTTGATTTATGGATGGGTTGCAGACCAGTGATAAGCTCAAGAAGAACTACACCAAAACTGAAAACATCTGACATGAGAGAGGCTTTTCCAATAATTGCATATTCTGGGGCAAAATAGCCAAATGTGCCTTGCATCCTTGCAGGAGAGCTGGAAGTGCTTGGAAGTCCGTCAGTTCTTACACGTTTAGCCATCCCAAGGTCAGTTATCTAAACAATAAATGGATTAATAATCAGATGGTAAACCAATTACATGCATACCAACTAAAGCTTAATATCTGATAACAGATGTCTAAAACAATTGAGATATCTTACTTTTGCACTCCAGTTCTTATCCAGAAGAATATTTGTGGATTTTATATCTCTATGCAAAATTCTAGGAGCAGCTGCTTCATGAAGATATTCCAAACCTCTAGCAGCTCCAATTGCAATTGTAACACGAGTATCCCAGGTCATGTCCTCCCCCAAAATTCCATCCAAACAATCCCTCAGATTACCATTAGGCATATACTCAAATACCAAAAGCCTCTCGGCATGTTTCCCTTGGAATTCTAAACAGTAGCCAAGCAAGGGCACCACATGGCAGTGATGGAGTCTGGACAACAGTTCGACCTAAGTAAAACAACACTGTAAAATACCTTGTAATTTGCGATTAATATATATATAACTAATGTGCTTTTATTTTGCACAAAATATGCAATAAGAAAGGAACTGTTTTCTCTAACCAAAATATGTGAAAAAAGAAAAAAGAAGACACGTTTTAGGTGGTACCTCTGTTGAAAAGATAGAGTCTGCTTCAGGCCCTCCATGAGTTTTAAGTCGCTTAACTGCAACAGTGCTTCCATCTTTGAGCTGACCACGATAGACATAGCTGCTTCCCCCAAATCCTATAAGGTTGGAATTGGAGAACTTATTGGTTGCATAATCCAGTTCAGAGTATGAGAACTGCATAATGGTTCCATGTATGGTCTCTGCTTTGCCCCGATAAAGGAAAGAAGCCTTTAGAAAGCATCCTGATAATAGATATAAGACAACATTATGCTTTACATCCGAAAAACCAAGTACTCAATGAAGAAAGCAAGTGGATTATGTTATCTTCAGAGGGCATATACTTATTTCAGGGCAACAAAGTAATAACTCCATATAAGAGGCAATATAGCAGTTCAACTTCTTCATTATATAACATTATACCTGCAATAGGCTTAGCAAGGAAATTGATGTTTACTTTAGCTTCTGAAACTGACAAAGTCTTATGACTTATTAAGTTGGTAGCACTGTTGCAGCTTGTTTCTTTATCCGATGAGAATACTGGTAGCTGGACAGGGAACTTGTGGCTACCAGGGAACTTGTCCTTCCGACAAAAATACCATATTACCGAAGAAAGAAATGCAAGTGTTGTGAGTATGACACACAGCAAAAGAATAATCACAATAAGTCTGCTTGATATGTGTTTCCTTGAAGCTTCAGCAACAGGAAGTGGTCCTATTTAAAAATACAGTTAAGAAACATTGATTAAACTCAACCATTTATTCCAACATGGGCCAATTTACTTTGACTAAAAAGGCAATATGAAAAAAGATAACAGAATTATTTGGAGAAAAAGAAAACGCTCCTAAGAGATGGAAGAATGTACCAGTGGTACAGTTGCAGGCTGTAAAACAAGTAGTGTTTTGGCTGTCAACTGTTACTTTAGGGAATCCATTTGCAAGACACATACAAATCCATCTATCCACACTGGATCCTCCAACTGCCATATAAGAGGTCTTATCAGTTAACCCATAAAATAAACAAAATAATTTTAATTCAAAACAGGATGATGCAATTCAATGAAGAAATTAAGGTACAAGCGTAGGTAGTACTGAAGATGTTGGGCTTAATAATTAAATAATAACAAACAACAAAAAAAATATAAATAAAAAGCAGATTAAAGATTTTGATTGTTGTACCACAAATATCATCAAACACACCTGGACTGCAATCACAAGAGGAAGAACAGTTTGATTTGAGAACATAATTCTGGTTTCCTTGGTAAGGAGAGGAGCATGTACATGTCCATTTGTTTATGCTTGAAGTGTTGGAAATTTCATCTGCCACGAAGTGATTGCATTTTATGGATGGTGTTTCACTTGATATTCCAAGGTTAAATAATGGAGAATAAGAGACGGAAATTCAGAGAGAGGGAAAGGGAGAGAGTGCAAATATTCACAATTTACCACAAAGACATTGCTGAACCAAGATCAAAACAATGAAACATGCAAGAGCAACTTCCACTTTGAGCTTCATTTGTTCCAGTCCAAACACTAACATGGAAAGCAAAACAATTAGTCAATTCTGTTGACATTTCACAATGATTATTTTGTACAAATTAACATGGCATACAAATTACCAGGCATAATTTGACAACAGAAAATATGCAAAGCTTGGTACCATTATTTATACAAAATAGCTAATAAAAAAAGAAAAAGAAAACAAACATATAATACTAGTAGAAATCTAAATACAGTAACTCTCAAATCCACTTACATTTAATACAGATAGAAATCTGCATCAAGAATTAGAGATCATCTGGTCAACCTTGATCCAAACCCCTTTAATCTACTGAAAGCAAATGACATAGACAAAATGAAGCTGGTTACACAACAAAGAAAGGAACTAACTACAATCATGAAAACAAAAGCCCTGGTAGAAAGAAAATATTAATGAAGCTATACAAGCCTATGCCCATCAACAAAAAGCATCTCCTGTGAGCTAATACCATAAGATTGCATATGGCAAGAGGAGCTGGACATTAATACACAGAACTTAACGAGTATAACGATTCAGTTTTTAAGCCTAGACTTTAGACCATGCATGATACATACTCAAAGTTGTTTAAAGTTGAAGACAGTTAAATTGAGGCCCAACATTCAGACACAGACTCCAGATTGTGATTGCACAATTGCTAATTGGTGCAAGAGCATGGTGTAAAAATAAAACATGATAGGTAAGACCCGACAAATTCACAGTTGGCCAACAAACATACGAAGCTTCAGATTTTTTCAATCCGACCCTGAACCATCCAATGGAGAAATGTACAAGCAAGACCATTTCCAGTATTCTTAATATGGGTATTCTCTACACAACAATCCGTGCCACGCAAATTGTGCATCTATCTAATATCTACAGTGAAAATTTCAGACTGTCCTGCAAGATAATGACAGAGAACTGAAGGTTCTCAATGCACAATTGCACAAACAAACAAGAACAGCGCCACCATTCATTAAAAGCCATTTCTACTTTGTACAGAATGGTTACATCACATATTTATGATACACGGCCAGCTAGACCCAAATTACATTTAAGCAAATGACATCAAAGACCTGACCAAAGACCTGACCCTCCAATTAATCCTGAGTACAAGTGCATTAATGGAAAGGTAAGGACACCCACCTACAAACATGATCGTCGATTATTCACAGGACTTGCAAAAGCAATACACTACAACGTCGACATTGTTTTTAACAACACATAATTAATAAGCTAAACCGAATCCACTACTGCCTCAGAGCATAACTATAAGAGAGGCATGTGACAAGACAAGATTGCCCGAGAAATTACAAAGACAAGAACAACAGTTTCTGGAATAACTCAATTAAACGCACCCAAGAAAGATCAATGTGATACAACTTTGAAGCTCAGTATCAAAATATAAGCAAAACAAAGCATGAAATGCACACCCAGAAGCTGAAAGAAGGATAATTCCGAAATTGAGCAGCTTAATAGAAATTAGGGATGATAAGTTGAAAAAGGGACAATGCAAAAGAGACATTAGACAGCAATAGGAAAAAAAAAAAGACGGAGACTGGTGGGGTTTTCAAATAAACATAAAAACTTGGAACAGGAATGGATAGAAAACCCATCAACCACCTCTCCAAAAGCAACCCATTCACCAACACGAAAGAGACTCCTCAACCACCAAAGGTATCTGGATTTCTAGGTAAAAAGGGCAAGTTATTCAATTTCTGCAACATTGAAAAAGGAAAAACAAAATAAACAATGTCCCGCACAACAATTCTCAACGGTTATAAAACTTGGCTTCAAAGACAGACTACATACGTCGTGGACTGCAAAAGTAACATCGAAAAGTAGAACTTCAACGTTAGTGTTAACATTTTGAACCCGAACCCCACCTGCTACGCTGCCGGCTGCAGCGATTTTCCGCTGCATTGGGGCCCGGCTTGATACCGACTGTAGTATTAATCAAATAAAGCTAGAATTACTGAATCTAAACTTGATTAGTCCACTAATACACACCATTTTAGTGGGAACATTGCTCATTACTAGAAGAAAAAACAAAAGGGTAATGTCAAACCGAATTAGCTTACCTAAAAACCACTGCTTTTTCTCATTTCCGAAGCACTTTTGATGGGTCCTCTTCTGGCAAAACCGAAGTACTTGTGGATTTAAGTGCTTAAAGCTTTGGACTTTGAGCTTAGACTGTAATCACCATGAGAATTCGGATCTGGGGT